CAATTTGTTAGAGCAAAGAACAAAATCAATATTAAATTGGAAAAAAGAATAAAAATGAGATATGGTGTAAAATTAAAACTATATCCTAACCTATTTAACAAGTTTTTGATGTCTAAAAATGGGAAATGGACAAAATAAAAGATTGATGTAGATTAGAACTATTTCCAAAGGAATTTCAATTAACATAAAATTAATTTATATAATAGGAAGACCAAAAGAGGATAGGAACCACCTTGGCCAACAAACATTTGATCTCTTTGCCAGGCAAGAACAATACTGGTTTAGATCTAAATCTATTTATAAAATCCTAAAAAGATGAATGGTAAAGCATTATGAATGTCATCAGTTAAAATAACGAGAGGAATTAGGTGGAAAAACAAGTTAACAGAAAGCTTGGCAAGACACCCATAAAGTAGATAATCATAGGCATTAAAGCTGAAACTGAAAAGAGAACAATAAAGGCAAAAATAAATAAAAGATCTGTCAAGATTACCCTAACAAAATATTCTCGTCATCACTGTCAACACAAAATATAACAAAATACTCTCTTCATCATTGATAACCACTCTTTGGACTCTAAAATCATGGTCAATGATGTACCATGTGACAAAGTGGAAATGGCACTAAAGAAAATAAAGACCAAAACAAAAGCTGTGCTAGACCAAGTATATGGAGAGCAGGTCTATGCTGGAGATAATACCAGTGAGATCAATATGGGATCAATTTTCAAGATATTTGGAAGAAGAAAGGATACCAAATAATTGGGGAAAAAATTTCAGACATTATCACTACCATGAGAGGCAGCAAATCATAGTGGATAAAGTACTGGATCTAGAGTCAAGAATACTTGAACCCAAATTCCACAATGGACATTTACTAGTTAGATCTCTGAGCCTTAGTTTTCCTCATTTGTAAAATGGGGATAATGATACCTATAGTACCTATCTCATGGGGTTATTGTGAGACTTAAATGAGAATGTTTGAAAAGTACATTGTACACCTTAAACATGTTGAGTGTAGGAGAGGGGACAAATGATGCCAATGCCTTACAACTTTATCATCTTAAACTTACTGAATGTCTACTAAATTCCATTCTGTTTTCTAAGATATGTATAGATAGGTATTTGGATATATAGATACACACATGTGTGTTCCAAACAATTGGCACAATGTCATCTGCAAACATCAGCTGGGGAATTTCATTATCAGTAGGAAAACTTTCTTCTAGTTGGATTTTAGGCAGGACATCTGCCATCATATTACTGAACACATGTTTGAGTCTCTGTGTTTTTACCTTAATATTCATGCTCAATAAGCTGCTGTACAAAGTTATCTCCATAATCATACCTGAATTAAGATCTTGTATAATTTAAATATATGAATGGGAGCCATCTTATTTTAAGTCTTTAAGGCTGCCATTGTTCAACCAAGTTAAACACTTTTTGTCGTTGTTGCTTTGGTTTTTGTTTTGTTTTGTGTGGGGAACATAATCAACAAATAACTGACACAGTAGAACCTGATATTATCTACCTGATACTATCTCCACCTCTCAGTCAGTTGCATGGCTGTGAAAATGTAGTCTACTGTCAAAAATCACCTCCAAAAACATTCCTGTTCTCTTCTAACGTATTAATAAAGGATACCCTCTAAATGCCTGCAAAGTCTTATTTTCATGAAGATTTCATAGAGATGAGAAGACAGGCATCAATAGTTAATGTTTTCCCAGCCACCATTTTATGGTAACAGTGTTGTACATTGACCTTCTGTTTTCTTTTCTTTTTGTAGAACCTTTTCTTCTTAGAGATAATTAAAAATTCTTTAGTGTCTTAAAAATTCTGTATACTCCAGCACAGATTTCTTCTATTTGTGTTTGGTCAAATACAGCAAATCTTACCAAATTTACCTTAAGTACCATTGTCACTTCATCACACAGGTTAAATGCAGTCAAACAGCTTATCATTACTGATCAGAATTACTGCCAGGGAAGTGTTGGCAGAACTGTTCATTTCACATCTATTTGTTGTCCTCCTTCAAGTTTCATCTACGATGCTTTCAAGATGATCTGTCTTATACTTCAAATGCCAAGTTCTTTCCCCCTCTATTATTTTGCAGTTTCCTGAGACAATAATGCTTATATTCTTTCATCATCTTTCTCTGTAATCTTTTGAAAGTGAACTTGTATATAAACCTGTATTGCCCTTGGCTACCACATTTCTCTGCTTGGCAAGATTGCTAGCTCAGATAGTTTATGTGCACTTTTGGTTTCCTTGTTTTGATGAAATTTTGCATCATTTAAACTTGTCTAAGAAATGGTAACAAGCAATGTTCTTATTTTTGTCCATTTCTTGTTTTTCTGAGTCCAGAGATAATTTAAGAAGACTGGAATGATACTGCTATAAATTACAGGAAGTGCTTTTTGTGGTTACAAAAAACTGGAAACAAAGTATGAGTCCACTGATTGGTGAATGGCTGAACAAAGTGTGGTATGTAATAGTATACTATTATGACCTAAGAAATGCTGAATATGAAAAATTCAGAGAAATGTAGGAGAATTTATAGACCAGAACGAAGTAAGCAGAACCAAGAAAACAATCTTTTTCAACAAGAACAATATACACAATGACTACAGTAATGTAAATTGCATTCAATAAATACAACAAACAAGTAAAAATGTAACTGGTCAAGGGTGAGACAAAAATGTGAGGGTTGGTTTTGTTGGCTTAATTTTCATAATCATTTTTGATAAAAGGGAAAATGTCAATAGGGGAATGGTATATCAGGGAAATGGCTGTGGTATAAAAAAACAAAGGCATTAATTCTCCCTCCTTTCAGTTGAACAATGGGAGGATCTTAAGTATAGAAAACTTCCCTACGCTATTAGACATAATGTGTCCACCTTACTAAGATGTAAGGGACACTAGGTAGGAGAAGAGGGCTATATTTGGAAATGAATGTGAAGTAAAAACAAATGGCATCAAAACAAAAAAAAATTTCTGGACAGCAATAAAATTTTCTGAATCACATGAAATACCATCTTTTCATCTTTATCCTTTCTTCTAATTTGTTATTTACTTTGACCTTTGCTCTAATTAGTTCTGACTGTACAAAGACAACTGAATCTGAAATAGCTCCCACGTTGATACCAAGTTGTTTCCTGTTAAAACACAGCCAGTTTCATTTTTTGTGACGTTTGAAGGTGCTCACCATATCCAGTGCCTTCTAGTTCTTTTAGAAGAAAGGGTTAATGATACTCAGGAAAGAGGTATCTGAATGGTCTATCAGCCTTTGGCCTTTTAAATTTCTTGACCTTAAACCATATTTTCCAGCATGATTTTTGCCATCCTCCCCTTTTCCCACCTTCACATTGAAGTCACCAAGTATCAAGGTACACTTTGGAGGATCTTGTCAAGCTCTTCATAGACTTTCACTACTTCTTCATCCTCTAAACAGATGTTGGTACATAAGGTGCAATTATCTTCACTGTAGTCTGTTTGCTTACGTTCATCATGAGCACTGCAAGGTGAGATGACCAAATTTCCCATGAATTGATGTTTCTTGTTAACTTTGGGTACACAATGAAACTAACTCCACCAATTCCTTTATTCATCTCCACAAGGAGAACCTAAAAACCATATTTTCATTTAGTTTTAACTACTTTGACTTTCGGTTTCATTTATAAAGAGAATATCCATATGGATGTGGTTCATTCCTCCAAAAAAGCATTAAGTCATTAGATGAAGACTGACTATTAAGAATACGGTTAAATTAATATTTGAAGATAGTCTAAGAATTATATGAGCTTTCACACTCTCTGCCCCTTTTCAACTACTCTGACACCATTCACTGTGGATGGAAAAGGTCATTTTGTATTTTTACATATTTCATGTGTCACAATGACCAAAATATTTATCACCTAATGGTCAACCTTCTACCCTTCACACTATGCTATTCTGGTGCTGGGACAGCATAGTCTAGAGCCAAAACTGTACTCAAAGCCTTAAACCCAAATAGAACCTGCACTCCACTGGTGTAGGATCTGAGACCCCATGATCTCCTCCACAACATAGTAAGGAATCAGAAGAGCGAAGAGAAACAAATTAAAGGGAATATAAGTCCACAAGGTCTAAAACATGGGGCCCTAGCTTCTGTATATCCTCTGAAGTAGCTTTCAGGGACAGCACTGGAAGCAAGGTTTCAGGTGAGACAGAAAATGAAGACCTAGTAATTGCAATGCCATGGACCCCCAGTCTCCAAGCTTCAAATGAGTTAGGATACCCTCTATGATACTTGTGAATACTGTAGGTGACAGATAGTCACATTTGACATGAGTAGGGGCAGAAAAGAAAGGGAAGTTGTTGTAGAAGAAATTTCTATTACAATATAGTTTAGACTAGATGACCACTAAAGCGTTTTGATCCTACAAAATGTCCTATTGTAATGAAAATATTCCAGCAATACCACGGATTTCTTAAAACATAACTTCACCTTTAATTTTAGTTTAAAAACATTAATTTTATACATCAATTTAGTATTAGTAAGCACTGGATCAGCAAGGCATTATTCTTTTTAAAACAACTACTCACTACAGTTATGGCTCATTAAAGTATTCACTTACCTGAGAAAAGGAAATTATCTCAAGAGATCAAGATTTTCTTCCAGCCCTATGACAATATATGTATCTATTAAGAATGGAAACTATTTACTGAAGGCTTTTTAAACCATTTTCCTTTCAATTATTTTTCTAATACTATTTATACTTTAATCAAAATACCTGTGATTCTTAAAAGCACACTCGATACAAAAAAATTAAAATTCTTATAAGCTTTACTGGCTTAACAGACTACCCAATTCTCATATCACTAATGTTCCCATTGACCTTCGAAGTTAATTATAGCTTTACTTGCGGTAGATACACACAAAATAAGTCAAAACAATCAAAGGAAGAACTACTACTGGAATGAGAACACAAATAACCTGCAAGCAGCTTTTTCAAAACATACCTGCATTTCACAATCAGCTCGAAGATTAAGTTCTTCACAGCATTCCCTGGATATCCTCAAGAAAATATAGTCTTTTGTTTTTTCTTCAATAGCTGCTTCATAAACCTTCTCTTTGGTTCCCTGGGTCTGTACTAATTTCTCTTTAGTGATTGGTAATAAATAAACAGCATTGACTTTGGTCATCACCAGTCTTCCAGCCAAAGTGTCTTCAGAAAGAGTTTCAGTGAGCTTAAAGCGACCAAAAAGCTGTCCATTCTGAGCATACTTTGCACCTCCAGAAACCCCAGTGAGCATGAAGCTTGCTACAATCTGCAATTGCACTTTAATGTTAAACCTAAATCAGAAAATATAAAGTTAATTTAAATATTTTACACCAAAAAAATTCAGAAAATTCTGAAAGGGAGAAAGGGAAGGCAACATGTATCAAATACAAACATAGCAAACATTAAACTTCATAACAATTCTACTCTGTTGAATTATAAAGTATTCAATATTTCTTCGCCTTCAATCTAAGTTGGACACCAAACACCAAAAGAATAACTCCCAAATGAGTAGTACTTGTGAATGCACACTCAGTCATGATAGACAGGGAATATGAGTAGTCTAATAGAGTATTTTACGGAACATTTTTAAACTAAATGTAATTTTTAAAATGAAGATTATATATTATATATAATTTTGAATTAAAAATTTTTCAAAGAACAGAAAATACTTAAACTTCATATATGGTGGGACAAAATGCCTTAACATTTTCTTTTGCTAAAAAAAAAGCTCCATATTTTCTGGGGCACGTAGGTGGCACAGTGGATAGAGCTCCAGCCTTGGAGTCAGGAGGACGTGAGTTCAAATCCAGCCTCAGATACTTGACACTTACTAGCTATGTGACCCTGGGCAAGTCACTTAACCCCAATTGCCTCACCCCAAAAAAAAAAATTCTCTTGCTTTTCTTTTTCTGAATTTGCCTTCAAAACATGGGATATCATCTTAGACATTCAGTAAGTGTCCATTAATGATAATGTTACATCATAGAGGATACCATAAAGTTGAAAAAAAAGTTATAATACCTAACATAAGGTTCTAGTTAAAAAGAAAACTCTGCATAAAATATATTTATTCCCATAATTACATTTCAAAATTCATGGTCCATATCATTTTATCTAAATATAAAACATAACTACTGGACATAGAACACCTATTGCATTACCTGTCATTTATATTACCACATAATAAGTCCTAGTATCATGAGACAAACAGTAAGTGAAAAATATTTTTAGATGATTACTTACTTGCTAACTTCTTTATACTGTGCTATTTCCTCAATATAAAGCAAGTCATGTAACCGGGACTGATAATTAGTCTTTGTCAATGATTTGTCCAAAACAGATTGTGTAAATAGCTGATCAGCGGAGAGCGGAATTTGGTATCTAATAAGAAGGCTTTTCTCCAAATCAGTAGTTTCATTAGGCTCAAAATCTATAATAGTCTTAGAAGCGGAATCCCAGCGCTTTGCTGTCGTTAGTAGTTGTTGCCTTGCATGCATTAGGTATTCAAGATCTAAAAAGAAAAGGAAAACAAACTTATATATAGTCATAGCACTAATATCCTTAAATTCTATGTCTTTTATTTTCCTTTAATTTTATTTTACATGCTAAAGACAGAATTCTTCCATTCCTGCTTAACCTGCACCTCTCACTAGTTTTTTTCCCAGCTATAAAAGACTTCTAATCTAACAATAAGACAATGAAGAAAACAGCAATCTAAAGAGACAGTAGGCGTGCCACAAAGTTATTAAAAATTATAAAACTAAGAATGAATTGAGAAATGTCCCTAAAACAGAACTCTGATATGCAGGAAACAGTTATCTAGTGCAGCAAGAAAAAAATCTGTTGGGTGTAGAAGATGTTTCACTTCCCACCACATACAGTTATCTGACTCACTGTGGGAAGATCAACTGATCAAAAAACAAGAATAAATAGTAATACTATTTTCTTCTTCAAGTTCAAAATAAAACCATAATAAAGATGTCTGTAAGTTAACTTGTTTCAAACAAAATTCTCCTAAAAGATAGGTCACAGAAAACATTCTGATAAACATTCTGGTTATGATTTAAATTCAATATAGCCTTATAAAAGTTTAAGTTGGCTACAATATCATTTGCTGTTGTTCAGTTGTTTCAGTCATGTCCGATTCTTCAGGAATACATTTGGGGTTTTCTTGGCAGAGAAGCTGGAGTGGTTTGCCATCTCCCTCTCCAGCTCATTTTATAGATGAGGAAACGATAGATGAGGGTTAAAAGACTTGCCCAGGGTCACACAGTTAGTAACTGTCTGAGGCTGGATTTGAACTCATGTCTTCCTGACATGGGAACTCTCTCCTGGCACTCTATCCAATGACTAATTAAGGATTTGTTCTGATATCTCTGGAAGAATTGTTTTTTGTTGTTCAGGCCCAGACTTCTGATTTCCTCAGCATGGACACATCTTAGTGTGGAAACTTCTTCTGCTGATGCTGATCAAAACTGATCATTAACAATTTATAACTTAAGAGAGTTTTGCATGGAGCACTGAAAGGTTAAGTGACTTGTCCAAAATGAAAGACCTAGTATGTGCTGGAGGTAGAATATGCATTCTTATCTTCCTGATTCCCATTCACTTATAAGGGAACTCATGTAAGGAATATTGTATGATATGAGGAAATATGGCATAACTTGATATTTCAATATATTTAATATTTATTCTAGTAGTTTACCAGTCCAATAATTAGAATTTACATATCATAAACATGGAAAAGATCTAACTACGAAAGTATGTGCTGACTAAATAATCCATAATCAAAATTTTCTAGAGTATAAGTAGTAAAAGTACTCCAAGTAACAAATTGAATTATTATTTTAGAAATAGTAATAAAATATTTAGAGCTGAAAAATACCTTAAAAGATTACTGAATCCTGAACATCACTTTGAATTCCATTTATGACACAATGGCTATGTGACCATGGACAAAAATTTCACCTCGCTGAGACTCAGTTTTTTCATATGTAAAATGGAGGAGAAAGATATCTGTAGTACCAACTTTACAGGGTTGTTCTAAAGCTCAAATAAGATAATATAAAGAAAGAACTGACAATTTTAAATTGCTACATAAATTTTTGCTATTATTAGCCAAGGACATACAGACAATAGAAACAGAAGTGAAACCCAATCCAGTTTTTTTTTTCAACCATACATAAGTGTATGTATGTACATCTGCTCTTCAAGATTCAAATTATTTTTTGAAATTTTTTTTGAACAAAAAAGGAATATCATCAAAGAAAAAGAAGCACGTTTCAGATTAAAGAAGTGTTTTAAGTAGCTATTTTAAATAAGTTTCAGTATAATCATATGATTTTTCTGTTGGTTTTGTTGTTGATATGGTCAGTTATGCTGATAGTTTTCCTAATATTGATCCAGCCCTTGATTCCTGGTATAAATCCCACTTGGTCACAGTGTATTTATGATATATTTCTCTAATCTCCTTGCTAGTATTTTATTTTAAATGTTTGTATCAATATTCATTAGGGAAATTGGTCTGTAGTTTTCTTTCTGTTTTTGCTCATTATGTATCAGCACCATATTTGTGTCATAAAAGGAATGTGAAAGGACACCTTCTTTGCTTATTTTTCCAAACAGCTTAATGAACATTCCTGATATATTTAAACGTGTGTGTTTAAATATCTATATATAAGGGGCAGCTAGGTGGCACAATGGATAGAGCACTGGCCTTGGAGTCAGGAGGACGTGAGTTCAAATCCAGTCTCAGACCAGACACTGGACACTTACTAGCTATGTGACCCTGGGCAAGTCACTTAACCCCAATTGCCTCACAAAAATAAATAAATATATATATATACTTATATACATTTGGATAAGTTCTAATAAATATGTATTATGAGCATACAGGTATGTATGTATACACACATTTGTCTTATTCTTCATAAGCAATTTCTATCAGCAGATCTTTATATTATCCTTAATTCTTAGATTACATTGTTTCTCTAGGGTACTCTAAGTATACTATCACACCATCTGCAAAGAATGATAGTTTTGTTTTCTCATTGCCCATTCTAAATCCTTTCATTTCTTTTGCCTTTCTAATAGCTAGAGCTAGCCATTTGTAGTACACTATTGAATAATAGAGGTGACAAAGGACATCTTTGCTTCACCCCTTATCTTACTGGGAAAGCTTCTAGCTTATCCCCATTACAGATAAGGCTTGCTGATAATTTTGGACAGATAAAATTTATTTTAAGAAAAGTTCCATTTATTCCTATGCTTTCTAATGTTTTTAATAGGAATATGAGATAATCATATGATTTTTCTGTTGGTTTTGTTGTTGATATGGTCAGTTATGCTGATAGTTTTCCTAAGATTGAGCTAGCCCTTGATTCCTGGTATAAATCCCACTTGGTCACAGTGTATTTGTGATATATTTCTCTAATCTCCTTGCTAGTATTTTGAATGTTTGTATCAATATTCATTAGGGAAATTGGTCTGTAGTTTTCTTTCTGTTTTTGCTTGTTATGTATCAGCACCATATTCGTGTCATAAAAGGAATGTAAAAGGACAGCTTCTTTGCTTATTTTTCCAAATAGCTTATATAATATTTGAAATAGTCATTCTTTAAATGTTCAGTAGAATTCACTTGTGAATCCATCTGTTCCTGGTGATTTTTTTCTTAGGAAGCTCACTGATGGCATGTCCAATTTCTTTTTCTAAGATAGAATTATTTAAGTATCCCACTTCCTCTTCTGTTAATCTGGGCAATTTATTATTTTAATTTTATTTGTAAATATTCATCCATTTCACTTAGATTGTTAGATTTATTGGCATGTAATTGGACAAAAGAGTTCGTAATATTTGCTTTAATTTCATTGTCATTGGTGGTGCATTCACCCTTTCTGTTTTCGATACTGGTAATTTGGTTTTCTTCTTTCCTTTTTTAAAATCAAATTAACCAGTAGTTTATCTATTTTATTGGTTTGGTTTGGGTTTTGTTTTGTTTTGTTTTTTCATAAAATCAGCTCTTAGTTTTATTTATTAGTTCAATACTGTTCTTACTTTCAATTTTTATTAATCTCTCCTATAATTTTCAGGATTTCCAATTTGATTTTTTAATTGGAGATTTTTAATTTGTTCTTTTTCTAGTTTTTTTTAGTTGTATGCCCAATTAATTAATCTATTTCTCTATTTTATTGATGTAAGCATCTAGAAAATTTAAGTATAAATCTTTCCCTAAATACTGTTTTGGCTGCAATCCAAAAATTCCAGTATGTTGTCTCGTTGTCATTCTCTTTAATGGAATTAATGATTATTTCTATGATTTGTTCTTTGACCCATTCATTCTTTAAGATTACATTATTTAGTGTCCAATCAATTTTTAATTAATCTTTTTTGTGGCTCTTTATTGGATGTAATTTTTATTACGTTATGATCTGAAAAAGATGCATTTAATGTTTCTGCCTTTCTGCATTTGGTTGTGAAGTTTTTATGCCCTAATACATAGTCAATTTTTGTGAAAGGGCCACGTACCACTGAGAAAAAGATATATTCATTACTATTATCATTCATTTTTTCCAGAGGTCAAGTATATCTAACTTTTCTAAAATTCTATTCATCTCCTTAACTTCTTACTTTTTTTTTTTTGTTAGATTTATCTAGTTCTATGAGGGAAAAGTTGAGTTCCTCCACTAATCAGTTTTATTCCCTATTTTCTTCTGTAATTTATTCAACTTTTCCTTTAAAATTTGGATGCTATACCATTTGGTGTGTATATATTTGGTACTGATATTACTTCACTGTCTGCAGTATTTTCTATCAAAATGTAGTTTCCCCCCTTAGCTCTCTTAATTAGATCTGTTTTTACTTTGTCTGAGATTATAATTGCTATCCCTGCTTTCTTTAATTCACCTGAAGCATAACAGATTCTGCTCCAAACCCTTATTTTTATGCTGTGTGTCTCTGCTTCAAGTGTTTCTCACAAACAACATATTGTAGAATTCTGGTTTTTAATCCACTCTACTATCTGCTTTCCATTTTTCCAGTGGGAAACAGGCCAGAGCAACTAAAAGTTGCAAAACTTTTTGGCCATCTATGAACACTAGACTAACTTTAGTAAAACATTTAATAAGTAATCTTTGTCTGGTGACCAATACATTGACCCACTATTGGAGATAAAGAACTACATCCACATTGAAACCCCAAAACATAATGAAGTAGTAGATAAAATGAAAGGACAGTCATTAAACTGCTTATACCTACATCAGGGAGACAGTATGACAAAGTGGAAAGGACAGACTCTGATATCAGAAGATCTGGGTTCAAATTCTGCCTCTGATCCTTACAACCCATGTGACCTTGGACAAGGCATTTAACCTCCCTGAGCCTCAGTTTCCTCATTTGTAAAATATGAGATCTGGACAAGTTGGCTTCTGAGGTCTCTTCCACCTCTAGATCTATGATCCTATGACCTAGTGGTCCTGCATTCCAAGAAAAAAACAGAAAAGAAAGGGGCCATAT